GCCTCGGTTCCCCCCCAGCCCGGCTGGGGGGCCGGGGCGCCGCGCCGCGTTGGGGCGGCGATCCTTGGTGACCGTGCGCGCTTGTGGTTCACACCAGAGAGGTGACGGCAGGGACTTTGGAGCTATCCTCCTCCCAGGGCTGCAGATTCTGCAGAGCAAATAGCGATGAGTTGTGCAGACAGAGAGGGTCGGGCTGGATGGAGTCGTTGAGGCTCTTTTGGAAGGCGTCGTGTTGCAGCTGCAGCATGAGCCGGCTCGCCTGCTGCCGCTCCGCCTCCCGCTCCTCCGCCGTCTGCCGCCTGCACCCGGGGAGGGAGAGGGACAGCACCGTCATGCACCCGGTTTTTTTGCCCCCAGCCCTCTCGGGAGCCTGGGCCAGCCCGGAGCCTCGAGGCGTAGAGCCCGCCTGCCTCCCGGTTCGCGCTGTGTGCCCGAGGCCCGCGCGTCCCAGGAGTGGGTTAGGGCTCTTGTTTTTGTTGTCTACTGGGCGGTCGCCGGGAGGGGACTCCGCCCGCTGCCCACCTGCACGCCCGGGTATTGTGACTTCGCCAACAACAAAGATTGTGTCTTTTTCGGGATAACAAGGGCAGGGCGTGTGTGTAGTTGACTCGGCAGCTGGGTGACCCGGCTCCGCGGGTGGGCGGGTTGGCTCCGCATCGCCCGCGTGGGGTCCCCGGGCGGGGTCAGCCTCCTCCAGTTCTCCCGGGCCCTGTCTCCAACCCCTCTTTCAGGATCGCTTCGCCGTTCACGGGTTGGATGGAAACAGGGATCGGATAAACACGGGGCTGCAGTCTGGATGGGGAGCTACAGGGGCCCGTAGCTCGCAAGGATGGTCGGACGTCCGAGAGGGCGGGCAGGAGGAAGGACGCGAGCGCGAGAGGCCCCGGTGGGTGGGAGGAAACGGAGAGAGAGCAGGAGATAGAATAACACACGGAGAGAGTTGGATGGAGCAGAACAACGCGGGGATGGGCATGGAGGCGCCGAGGCGCAGGAGAGTGGGGAGAGAAGCACAGGCCGGCGGGAAGGAGAGAAGGGAGGTAAAATCGGGGAAGGAGCGGGGAGGCGCGGCCCTGGCGGGGCGGGCAGGGGTAGCAGCGGATGGGCATAGCGCGAGGCTGCAGCGTGGGGCGGGCGCAAGGTGGGACGGGCCGGGGCTCTCACCGCCACTTGGTCCTCCGGTTTTGGAACCAGGTCTTGACCTGCGCGTCCGTCATTTTGAGGGACTTGGCGAGCGCCGCCCTCTCGGCCGAGGCCAGGTACTTCTGGCGGTGGAAGCGCTTTTCCAGCTCGCAGATCTGCACCCGAGAAAAGGACGTGCGCGGCTTCTTACGCTTGGGCGGCGTCCGGTTCTGGTAGGGGTGGCCGATGCGCCGGGTCACCGTGAACGGAGTGAGAGCCGCCGCCGCTGCGGATACACACGAGGCCCCCTGAGGCCCAGCCCGGCTCCACTGCCATTTAGGCCCCGTGCCGATCTACGCCGCCCGGCGGGGCGCAGAGTGCTCCGCTATTTCGCTGGTCCCTCCCGTCCCCAGTGGCATCACGCCGCTTGGGAGATGACCCCCCTCTTCCCCAGGCACAGGCTTATTTCCCGGAAACTCCCTTGATCTTCCTCCCCCTGCGGTTGCCCTGGGCCCTGGGCGCTGAGGCCTCCGCCGCGCTTGGGCCTCCCGAATCATTTCACCGAGTGAAGCAAATAGGGCGCGGCGCCTCTGGCCCTGGGAGGGCCGAGGCCCGGCGCCTGTCGTTGGCCCTGCTCACCTGTGAAGCGATCTTTCACGAATCGGCGGCTGCTCTCCATCCAGGGGAAATTGAGGCCGCCCAGGCTGGAGACCGTGGGCACCGAGGGCATGGCGGGCAGCGCGCTTGGCAGGGGCGGCGGCACGGCCCCCGGCAGCGGCCTGTGCGCCGGCACCCGGATCACTCCGGCGGGCGCCAGGCTCAGGTTCACACTGTAAGATCCCGCGTCCTCGAAGGGCGCGCCGAGGCCGGCAAAGGAGGCGGGCAGAGACGGGTATGCGGCGCCCGGACGGCCCCCGGGGGGCCCTCCCAGGTAGCTGGCGCCGTCGGGGCCCCGCGGGGCTGGTGCGCTGTCCTGGTCCGGGCTGTTGAGGATCTGGTCGATGCCGAAGCTGATGGGCTCGTGCGGGTGAGGGGTCTGAGCGCTGGCGGGCGCCTCCATCCTGGGCGGGCGGAAGGGCTGGGCTGGGCTGGGCGGGGAGGCGGCTGGGTCCCCGTTACGGCGCGGCCATGGAGCGCCCGGCGCCTCTCGTCGCACTGAAACTTTGCCAAGAGTGCGCGGGCCCGACAGGCTCTGTGTCATCTTTCTTGAACCGAACCTGGAGTTTCCGCTGCTAATTCCTCTCCCGCTGCAGCCATTGGCTGCGATCAACAAGCCTCTCTCCTCCCATTGGCTCCCGGCTTTCAATAAAGGCCTAATTCATGGAAATAGGAGCTTAGGGACTGTTCCAAGGTGACATCATTTTAACAAACGAACAATAGGTCAAATTTATTAGCCGGGATAATGGGCGGCGGATATTAGCGCCCGAACCGCAGCCTCCCAAACCCGAAATCTAACGAAGCTGCAATTAGCAGACGCTCCCCGCTCCTTCCGGCCGAGGCCGCGTCCCCGCAGCAGCGCGGGGCTGGCCACGCCGCTCTGCTTCCGAAACTGCCCTTTGCTGAGGGGGTTTTCGTTTTCTTCCAAATTTTTTTCATCTGAGCAAAAACCAAACCCTATGAAACCTTTCAATTACATTGGAGTTGCAACCCCGGAAAGACCCTGCAGATCCGCAAAAACGGCTCGGACACTCCACCGCCGCGGGAACAACGAAAGGGGCGCACCCCAGGGCGCGAGCTCCGCGCTCCCTGCGCGCGGGGTGATGCGAGCGCCGTAGAAAGCTCCGCGCTCCCGAGGACACCGACCCGCGTGGGCAGAATTCGCCCCCGCCTTGGCTTCGGCCGCGGCGTCGCGGCCACTTTGGAGACACTCCCTGGCTCCCACCAGGCGGACCGAGGCGTGACTCGCAGGTGCCCACGCGTGCCAGGCCCGGCTGGGCCAGGGACCCGGGGTCGCCCGGTGGGGAGCGGGGATCCGGCCCCTTGAAATTCGTTGCAGGACGTACGGGACTGTGGTCGCGCGTGGGGACCCGCCTGTGTCGCTGCAGGTGTGGGGACCTGGGGTTCCCAAGGGGCAAGGGCGGGGCGGCTCGTATTTAGAGCAAATAGCGGGATTTCTTTGGGTAATGCTATCATCGAGTCCCTCCCGCTCCAGTGCAGCCTGGGTGCTGGGACCACTCCTGCTTTGCTCTTGCCCTCGGGGGCCGTCCTGGAGGGCCGAGGGGCACCAGGGACGGGACTGCACGCGGGATGGCCACCCCCCGCGCCAGCCTCAGCTGTCACCCCTGGAGAAGACAATCATTTTCTACCCACTAGTCAGGTGCAAACTGACTGCAGCGTCCCTGGCCAGGCCTTTCCTTTGCGCTACCTGTTTTTGCGGACGTGGTGAGAGGTCGGATGTGCGGTTGGCTAGAAATGAGTTTAAATTCTGACCGGTCACTTCCTAGCTGAGTGACCTTGAGCAAATGACTCTATATATTTAGGCTTTGGTTTTCTTATTTGTGAAAGGGGCGATGCAGGATTGTCGTGAGCCATGAGTGAGGTATCGAGAGCTCAGGGCTTAGGGCCTGGCACAGAGTAGGCACCGAGCCCCTGCGGCTGCCCTCCCCCCACCTCCGCGCGTGACGGTTGATGTACGATTCTAATGATTTTTATTTATTTGTTTGCGGTTTTATTTGCGGAGGCTCAGCATCTTGGAGAGAAAGATGTATTTGTCTCTGATGGGGTCGGACTCGGAGGATCCGGAAGGGCAGGAGGCAGCACGTTGGGGATTGGTTCTGAAAATGCATCCCAACGACGGAGAGGACTCGGGATTTGCATTCTTAAGGCCTGGGTCCCTGAGATAGGTCACCGCCTGCTGCGTGACCTTGGGCAAGTCGCTGGCCCTTTGAGCGGGGAACCTCAGTGTTGGGCGAATGGAGAATGAGACTGCTGAGCGGTGTGGGTGAGGAGCAAAGGGTGGGCTGGGCCCCCGGGCGAACTCTGCTCCTCTCCTTCCAGGGGACAGGGACCTTCACACGGATAGACGCCATTGCTCCTGCGCTGGGGGCCTCCTGCTTCTAATTCGGGCTCTGCCACTGGCGGTCAGGGAGCTGTTCCGTCCCTCATCGCCCCTCTTGGAGCCTCATTTTCCTAATTCGTGAAACAGAAAGGGTAATAGCTCCCCCCAAGGTGGCCGTGAGAAGTAAATGAGAGAAGGTCTGTGGAAGTGCCTGGGAGAAACTCTGGCGGTTATGTAATAATAACTCTAAGGACAGCAGTAGGACGACTGTAGGTTGAGAACTTGGTGGGTGCCAGGCAGGGGGCGGGCATTTATGTGTTCTTCACAACCGCCTTGTGAGGAAAGAGCTGTTATTGAGCCCAATTTTTACCTGATGAGGGAACCGAGGGCCAGAGAGCTCATGCGACTTACAGCTCCCCACTGCCTGTGGCGCTTTGCCAGATGCACTTCCCTCTGGCTTCCGGAGTCTGGGGTTTCAGGCCTGTCCTTGTCACTTCTCGGCTCTGTTAAATTGGGATGAGGCCCACGCCACAGGTACGTGGGCACAGAATCAGGGAGAAGGCGTGAGTGGTGTGGCCAGCGTCGCTCCCAGGGCATGGGGAGTGGCCCCCTGTTTCAGAATTAAATTCCCACCTCCGTTTACCAGCTGTGGGCTCAAGGAATCACCCCTCTGCTTTGTGCCCTCTTCCTTCCCCTTCTAGAAAGGAACAGTATCAATGTCATGGGCTTGTGTGAGCTCATCTCACTGAAAATTCAGCACAGTGCCTGGCATGGAAAGCGCTCCAACTCACCGCACAGGCCCAGCTTCCTGAGACTCTGGTCACCAACTCCTCTTCCCCAGAGCTGTCAGAAAGGGGAATAAATGGGTCAGTCGTTGTCCCTGGGACAGTGGTTCTCAAAGCGTGTCCTTGGACCAGCAGCAGCAGCATCACTTGGGAATGTGTTACAAACGCACACTCTTGGACCCCAGCCCAGCCTATTGAATCAAACTGGGGCAGGGCTCAGCAATCTGATTTAACAAGCCCTCCAGGTAATTTTGATACTCAAATTTGGAAGCCAGTGCCCAGAATATTGTCCGTTTCATCCAAGTTTTCAAATTCACTGTTGCAACACTGTGGAAAGATCCTCTCATTTGAAACTCTCGTGTGAATCTCCACTAATATCCTCTGCACTTTATTCTGTTACTAGTGCCTTTTGATCATATTTACCAAAGGTTGGTTTATTTTATTGGTCTTAAAAAAAGACTTATTTCATTATCGTCTTTTTTTTATGCCATATTTCAGAAATGTTTTGATTTATTTTTATTAATTTCTTTTTTGTTGAATGAAAATGGTTCATTTTTGTCACTCTCTTATTTGTTTGTTTTTAAATAAACATATTTAAGGCCATAAATTTACCTCTAAGCATTCTTTTGGCCAAATACGTTTTGATGCATATTTAGTGTTCCTGTGATTATAATTTTGCTATTCCTGCTTACCTGCTATCAATTGGATAATCTCCCTCCCTCCCTCACTCTCTCTCTCTCTCTCTCTCTCTCTCTCTCTCTCTCTCTCTCTCACACACACACACACACACACACACACCCCACACCGCACACAATCAAAATTCTAAGAATTGGGGACATGGGGCCAAGTGTCCCAAGTCCAGATGGACTTGCAGGATGCAGTGCATCTTCTCCATGGAGGAGCTGGGAGGAAGGATAGACGTGGCCGAGGCCTTGCTGGGAGTTACAGAGGAGGGCAGGGAGGCTTCGTGGATGAGAGGGCGGGATGTCGGCATTTCCAACTGCCCATGTGCAGGAGGCCGGGTTTGTTCGGGCTCACTCTGCCACTGATTTCCTGTGTGAACTGAACTCAATTTCCCCATCTGTAAGGTGGGGTAGAGATTGAATCAGGGCTCAGTCTCTCACATTTGGGGCCAGCCATCCTATTTGAAAGATTGACGAAAATATCACGGACAACTACTGTAGACAAAGACGCAAACACATAACGTGGCACATATGCCATGTCACAGGTTACTTACCGCCCCTCCCCCATTCTTTATTCACACACACTGGTTAGGAGTGTCTGGGGTGCTTGCAGCTCTCGTGATGGAAGGCTCTAAAGACACCTGCTGAAATTTATTCACTCACTCATTCATATATTCGACAAATATTTACTACTGAGCACCTATTCAAATTTTCTGGACTGTGTCCCAACTTTGGGCCTCAGTTTCCCCACCTAATAGTGGGAATGATGCAGTTTGAGCTCTTCATCACTGCCTCCCCCCACGGATGGGCCAGAGGAAGGACCTTCCTGAGCAGGTCTGAAAGGGCCCAAGGCTCCGCCAGCTGGAGGAAAGCAAAGGCTACTGGGTGTCGCGTGCTTCTCAGGACCCCCGGCACAAGTCATGAGACTTACGGGGCAGCTGGCTGAGGGACGCGAAACCCCTTGCTCGGGGCCATGCAGCTGGGGAGGCTGGAGCTGGGATCGAAGTTGGGACTGTCTTGACTACAAAGCCCATGCTCTTGCGTCACAGCACCATTTCTCCTCGAGAAGCAGGTAGTGAGGAGTCTCAGTCGGAGGACTGAGTGGGGTGAGGCATCAGGACCCTGATTGGGGCGGGGGTGGTGGCGAGGGCTGGCCACGGTGGGGCTCACTTCTGTCCCCAGCACGGCCTGGGAGTTCCTTCAGGGCAGGACAGTGTTGGCAGCATTCGATTCCACGACCTGGGGCCGAGCCCCGGGCCGGGGCCACTGGAGGCTCATCAGGAGTCTGTGATATTAAACTGAAGAGCACACAGCAAGGCCAGACGAGGGGATAAGGAAAAGGGGTCAGGAGCGTGTCGGGGATCAGCCTGTACTCAGCTCAGCACTCACCTCCCCAGCTCTTCCCACTCTCCCCACGGCTGGCCTCTCTGCCCACCCTCCCGAGCAGCGTGGCTCCATCATCCCTGTTGATTTTCCACTCGTTATCTTTGGAACCGAGATCATGTTCATCCTGCTCACCAGCTCTCCAGCTCTCTGAGGGCAGAGATGGTCTCCTTTACTGCTTGCGCTACGGTGGGTGAATAAATGAACGAACGAATGATTTCCAGGGTCCTGGAGGAGGGAGCAGCCTGGCAGAGAGGCTGGCAGCAGCCTGGGGGAGCTGGCCAGGAGCCTGGGGGTTAGAAGAGGGTGTAAGACCAGAAGGGGGAGGGGAGGA